TGTCAACACACCTTCTCCATACACATCAGTCAATTTCTTTCTGGCTTGAACAGCATTTTTACCCTTTCTGTAGTAAAACAGTAAGATATGTCGAAAATGCTGCTTATCGCTCTCCATATTTAAAAGGGCACCAACAAAAAACTACTGCGTAGAATTAATTGGAATTTTTCACACACAAGCCTTGCTATATGAGCTCTCAAAGCATATAAAAATTATACGGCTTAAATGTGAAGTTGGGTGCAAAAGAATACAATTAAATCCTCTGTCGGGAAAAAACGAAATGACTTTCCGAACAACCCGATAGATAAATATTTATCATCTAAATAAAACTAAACTGCAAATCGTTTAATTCAAGATAGTGTTGTGCTCCGTTTTCTCATTAATAATGGCATGCATATAAACTTATGTAGATATGCAAATGTTGGGGAACAAGGCAGTGAGATATGTAATATATCATACTCTGCCTGAGGATGTGGAAGATAAAGCGTGCATTGTTCAGAGGAAGTGGATTTTCTTTTGTTAACGTACGAAGCAATTTACGAACTTCATTTAATAAGACAATATATGTAACCATCAAGTTCTACGTACCACACACACGTTAAAAGGTGTTTGAGGACATTTTTAAACCGATAGTACTAGAAACAGGTACGAAAATGGGCCCAATAAAAGATTAATTAGTACCTACTATTCATCATCATAAGGTCGTCAGTCCTAAGGTTGGTTGGACATGCACCTCCACTCTTTCCTATTCTGAGCTAATCTTCGCAGTTTCTTAAAACTAGAACATCCCATATCCTTAACTATTTCTGAATAGTAATGTAATCTAGGTCTACCTATACTCCTCTTAACTCCTGTTTCTGCCTCTAATGTTCCTCTGACTAGACCTTCACGCCTGAGAAGGTGTCCTACCAACCTATCTCGCCTATTCCTTATTGACTTCCGTAGTCCTCTGTTCTCCTATTCTTTTTAATATCTCTTCATTTTTAACCTTCTCTATCCACGGTATCCTCATCATTCGCCGCTAACACACATTTCGAGCCTATTCTTTTCCGCCGCGTCCACTGTCCATGTTTCGCTCCCGTACAGCGCCGCGCTCTAAACATACACCTTTAACAATCTTTTTCGAATTTCTAAATTAATCGTTCGCGAGCATAAAAGTGACTTCGTTTTATTGAAGGCGACTCGACCCTGCGCTATCCTCTGCTTTATATCTCTACCACTTCTTCCTGACTTATCTGACTTCCTAGATACCTAAAATCAGCCACTTCTTCTAATCTTTCGTCTCCTATCTATACATTCGTTCGTTCCCTACTTTTTCTTCCCTTCCATACCAGTATTTTGTTTTACTTTTATTTATTTTCATATAATACTGTTTTGCCAATACCGCTTCCATTTTATTTAAAGCTATCTCTAACTCCTCCTTGCTAGATGCTAATACTGCTATATCATCTGCAAACACAAGCGTACTAATCTTTAGTCTCTCTATATCTATCCCTACAGTTACACTCTCTTTAATGTCTTCGGTGTATAGATTATTAATAAATGTAAAATTAGAAGCCTGTCTATTCTTCTCAAATGTTTCACCAGGAGCTAAAGGCATCGACTTTCCTAAAACCCTAAAAAATTCATTTCTTATTCATATTAAAGGCATCACAAACAAGTGTGCTAAAGGAGACGGTGAAATGTAAAAGAAACTGTTTTGAGAACGTTAATATTGAAAGACCATTCCAACGCATTTACTATTAATATATTTTTGATACTGTAGCTAAGCCAAAACAGGGTTGGAAAATGTTTGAAAGAGGGTGCATAATTTAATGTTGCTTTGAGATGAGAGATGTGTGTGTAAGACACGGAAAACGCGCGGTTTCAACCGTAAAATATTAAAGTGTAGTTATATTGTAATTTTTTTTTATCGGATAAAATAAGAAATACCTACTACTATAAAATTTTTAATCTTCCCAAATCTCAATTAACCCCAAACAAGAAAAATATTAATATTTTCCATTTTATTACTTATTTTGCCTAATTGAAAAAATAGATTTTTTTACTTTGCACTATTTTATTCGCTAAAAGGTCAATTAATGCGTTGGGGAAGGGTCAATTTATGCATAACAGGAAGGGTAAGTTCTCGAGTTTTTATAACTCTCACAACTATCGACTTTCGTTAAATGTCATGACAAGCTCGTATGTATGAAAGAAAATTTCAGCATTTAAGACAATTATTGTGTCGGTAAATAGAAAATTTGTGTTTAGAATATTACATATAAAGAAAATTATGAGTGTCAGCACAGAGCAAAGTGGTATTACGTAAATGAAACTTACTATCAGCAATTTCTTATGCTGAAGTGTACGATGTGTTGCATACCTATTTACAAGCCATTCCTTTAAATTTAATTTTTTAAACGATTTTTAACACAGAAAGTGATTGAATAAATTGTTCACAAAAGTGAATTTCGACCACTCGAAGCGATGGTGCTCACAGTGACTGAAAGGGGGGAAGAACTCGTTATTAATAAAAAAAGAAAACGTAAGTATCAGATTAAATAAGCGAGACTAAGACTGGACTATATAAGCATATTGTTCTTGCTTAGCTAGTCCCTAAATTGAACGGATTCAACTAGTTTATCTACCCATGTGTATACGACACTTTCCAGCTTTTCAACTTTATGTTATCTGAGGTGAACCTGAACCTTCTCCAGGGAGTGTTCAAAAGTTTGGAAAATTTGTTACATATCGAAAAACTACAACCAGAAAACGTTTGGCAAGGGAGCAGTTCAACGAATAACAAATTGGTTGGGTAAAATACAATTTGTACACCTATACCTATATATATTCTCCATAGCCCTCAACGTCCCAACCTTAGTTACAGATAAATCAGGGTGAAAGCAATTCTTTACAATTTCAAACGTTTTCACCCATTTTTGCTAATCACTAAAACGTAAATATTGAAAATAATTTTCCAAAATTTTCCAATAGGTCGTGTTTAAACATTTCTTACAATTTTAAATCAGGGGGCACTTGTATATGTATAAGGAAGGGAGAAAACTGTCTACGTATTTGTTTATCATGTTTTAATCTGATAAATTTCTCTAAATATATAATATTTGTATATTATCCCATACCTGAAGGGGAACACGTAAGAAATATATACGCTTCTAATATCTTTTCACTACCAATAATACTGCGAGTTTTGGAAATACATTTCGGTATTTCAATCGGCTCCCAATTATTTTTCCGACGATAACATTTAGCTCAAATATTTAAAAATTGTCTGCTATTTTGTACGTGAGCCTTCACAAAATGCGAAAGAATATGAAAGCACATACAATAGCGAGCTTAACTCGTATGTGCTGTGGAAAATTCTTTCGAAGGAAATAGACTGCAAGGAGAATCAACATCAAAATAGAGAACGAAGGAAAGTTAAAAGTTCGGTTCTCAAATTATAATAGAAACTGACGTAAACATGACAGGTTCAAAGGAACTGTGCTGATAAGGGTCATTTTTGTTTCCATTCTGAATTCGAAAAGAAAAATTAACTGGAAGTTGAACTGTTAATATTTTCTATAGTATTTCTGACATAAAGTATTTTGAGTATTGGGTAGAACTGCGTTAATTTTCATTCCATTTTAGAATTTTTAGGGTGGGTTTAAGTATTATATCAATTTTTGCTTAATTAAAAAAATTGTCTTATAAAGACAGGCACGAGGCTGTAGTCCCACTTGCGTACTGTTTACTGTATGTTTAATGAAAGATTTTATACATATAGTTGATTTACTTATTAAATTTAAATTTAGTTGGTCCCGAAAGCATTTACCAGTTGAAACACAGATACATAATTCTATTTACTTTTGTGACAATCTGAGAAGGGTTTCGAAAAGGCTTTGATGATAATGAATACAACGCAGAGATTTTGGACCCTCCTAAACTAAAGCCTAGACAAAACTGTGTATTTTTGGCGATTTAATGTTTGGATAGATACGTGCACGATAGATAAGGTTCACTTACCGTGAAATTTGTTTGTGGATAATCGGCAAGATCTTCTACATCGCTAATATCTTTTGTTGGTGGTATTCCAGTTCCATGGGTTGTCATTATGTCATGCTGTGCCGAATATCTAGACTGCTCTGAAAAGAAATTTATCTCTAGAATTTACCTTTCAGTTTTCAATTTTCTTTAATTAAAATATTCCTTTTACTATTACTAGGTATCCCTAAAATTAGAAGAAGTGGCTGATTTTAGATACCTAGGAAGTCAGATAAGTGAGGATGGAAGGAGTAGTAGGGATATAAAGCACAGGATAGCGCAGGGTCGTGTCGCCTTTAATAAAAAGAAGTCACTTCTATGCTCGCGAACGGTTAATTTAGAAATTCGAAAAAGGTTNCTGAACGTTGGAATACAGAAAGTCACTGAATTATACAAACATCGTAACCCTTTCGTTGTGCTGATGGCATGATCAGCATGAATTTAATATGGTCTGGTGCGCACAGTCTTGCTATCTGTTATTTGCCGAGGCAAGGGCACTTCGGAAGTCCTGAATACACCGATTTGTAATTTTTATAGGAGTTTTAAAATTCAATGGGGAACGTTCTTCAAAATTTTTATTTGTCTCGTAGCATTTTGACATACCTCCTAAACATCCTTAATATAATTTTTCGTTTTCTATCTTTATATTACCCTTTCCCTATTTTTTCTTCCCCTGCATACCAATATTTTTGTTTTATTTTCATTTATTCTTACACCTTAGTGTTACTGCTTCTATATTATTCAAGGCTATCTCTAACTCCTTCTTACCCGATGCTAATACTGCTATATTACTTACAAATCTAAGGATACTAATCCTTTATTTCTCTCCCTAAGGTTGTCCTGTCTTTAATGATGTTTATCGGGCCTTCCTGTATGCATCGATAACCCTATTGATTTATGTATTTATTACTTAATTAAAAAACATTAAAACTTTTGCATGGTTCATGTCGACCATCTACTAATGTTGGTAGGGTGGGAATGCCATACCATGGAGCGGGGGAAGCTAGTCCTGTTTTGCGGTTTACTCATCACGACCCCCATGGACGAGGGACTAAATTTCATGCAACGTATTTGAAATCACATTCTTTATATCTTATGAGCAGATAGAAATACTTTGTATGGTTGATACACGTAACATAAACAGTGTGTTTTAAGACTATACCATGCTGATACGTCAGTAATATCACACCCTTTTAGATTGTGAGACTGTAAATTTTATTAAACATTCTGAAGCTCAGTGGGTATATTGCTAACGAAATTATAGGTGTTTACGTTTTGTTGGGACATAAAATTGTTGATTTGTTTCACTAAATCACAAAATATAAGACGTACTGGGGTTAAGAATTTTTGATGGGTGATAAAAATTTAACAATGAAAACATTTGAATGCCTATTTACTATTCTACCAGTTTTTGTAAATTCAGTTCTTTTTAATAAAATAATTCGAAGTGGTCTGTATTCTGTCGAAACTGCCAGATTCGATCTTTTTGGATCTCATCAGCACGTCGCAGGCAGCTCCGACAGAACACAGACCAACTTTTACCTGCAGTCTTAACAGCGCGNCTTTTCTATTCTGCCGCGCCCACTGTCCATGTTTCGCACCCGTACAATGCCGTGCTCCAAACATAAACCTTTAACAACCTCTTTCCAATTTCTAAATTAACCGTTCGCGAGCATAGAAGTGACTTCTTTTTATTAAAGGCGACACGACCCTGTGCTATCCTCTATTTTATATTTTTATTATCGAAAATTAGCCACTTCATTTAATTCTTCGTCTATTTATTATTATTTACTATTTTCTGTGCAACACTAATCTTTTAACAGTGTAACTCCCGCATCTCCTGAATGTCGAAATATACCTACACATAATTTAATTCTAGGGAAAATTAAAAAGAGTTTGACCTTTTAAAAGTAATTATGTAGGTATACAGTGCCTATATTAAAAAGTTGTGGTAAATGCTTTTGATACTACGAAGGTTGCACATTAATTTTTAAAAGTAGATTTGCTGTCACGACCAAGCGCGATACAAAGCATTAATATTCAAATTTTTGCTAACTACATTCAAACTAATGCAAGAGTACAATAATACAATTAAATTTTTAACTACTGTTTAACCTTAGCAAAAGCTTAACTAGATTAAAATGCAAATATGTGTTTAAAGTTGAAGGGACTTCAATAAAACTTTAACCTTTTTAATGTTTAATTTATACAGTTTGATCGCCGTATTGGAAAGGGCTACAATAATCAGTTAATCCACAATAGCAGGCATTTACCTACAGTATTCGCGTTATAAGTTGGCAGGATGGAAATGCTATATTAGGTTAGGTTAAGATGTATGACCCTTAGGAAAATAGAAAAATATCTTACCTGCAGTAACTGCACTTTGTAATATAGCAATTGCAGCCAATAAGATCATTATTAGCCTAAACCAGCTGATGATGCCAACTTCAGCATGGCGCCAATTTCTCTTACAGGTCTCCGAAATTAAAACCTTTCCCCTGATATGATGTTAGCGACGATTAAGTGGACAGAACTGAAACAAGAGACAAAATACTTTGTCAAACAATTTTAATTGTACCTACATATTAAAATGTATAGTAACGATAATAACAGAAAGCTAACGTCGAGATGCTATGTATTACTGTAACTCCTGAAGAAGTCACAAAATTGCGAAACAGTAACTGTTAATGTAATAAAAAAGTGTGAAAATTATAACTAGGGTTGTAATTTTACATTAATGTCAGTAATATCTAACAAGTACATTTACATTCAATTGGTTACAACTGCACTACTAGGTATATAATTTATTGCCTTTGGTATAAATTTTTTTATTTTTGTGATATGGGTTTGCTTAAGAATAAATAATACGATGCTATAAATTTTAATGATACAGAGGATAATAAGGACCATAAAGCATCCCGCGCTTTCTATTGTATTATATCCTAGGATAAGAAAACTGGCGTAATTTATGATTAATACACCTTTAATTAACCTGCGTATAAATTTTCGTTTTCATCCCTTATTTAACGTAAAGAGAGGAATTTTAACGTTTAATGCGATTCGAGAAAATTAATTAAGTACATTGTATTTTAAATTTTTTGCTTCGTTACTACCAATTATTAACTGTAAATCTTCATTAAGCTTAATAATAATATTTGCAAAGTACATCTTTTACATGAGTTGACAGAAATTTTCTACGGTGCGTACGTAGTAATTCTTCCTATTTGGAGTAAATTTAAAACTAAGCCAAAAAACTCTGACTAAATCGATAAAAATTAAGGGTTAAACATTAAGGATTGGGATTCTGTTCGAATAAGTACGTAAACAAAATTAATAAGAACAGTATAAAACTTCTTGTTCAATAATTTACAGAGACCATCAAACGTAGATGGCGATTTCGATATCATCAGCACGCCACAGACAATCTCGTTAAGGCACCGACCGAATCGATCTGGATACCTCAGTAAGGCCTTTGTCTGACAACATATCAATCATGTCAACTTGCTTTTATTTGGTAGGAGGTTTATTGAGATTGTCTATGGCGCGCTGATGAGATCTAATCGCGATTAACGTCTGGTAGTTTCAATAATTAACCTACCAGAAGCTTATAATGTAATTGTGCCTCTATATCATTGTATTGGAGACCAGAATGTAATCGCGCCTATTGTATAATATTGGAGACCATACAATTACGTTATCATATTTAGTCCCCTAAAGGGTTAACATTTGAATTTCAAATACGTAGAAGCAGGTACAACAATGTCACAAAATGTCTAAAGTCTAAACACTGATAAAACCCACATATGTCGGGGAAGCACCTACTTACGCGCTATCTATTACAGCATAAAATTTTAACGATATTTTTAGCTTTGCGGAGCAATGAAAACGTTGATAAATCCGAAACGTATTTAACCTTTCTTATCTGTTTAGTGGTAAGCACTGAGGGATACATGCAATTAAAGTGCTATGGAGGTTTTATTGTGTTTTATGGTCAGGACGGGATGGTATGTTCGAATGCGAGCTGTATTTTTCATTTGATTTGAAACACAATGGCGAAGAAAGACAATCTGTAATAAAGTGAGTTCTGTGGATTTAAGGATAAGCCTTAAGTCCTTAAGTCAAATGGCGTAGGTATGTAGTAGATATATGATCATAAAAGTGATTTATTTCTTCATTCATCTTCAAGATGTTTCATATGTCTACTGATGTAATAGTTAGGTAGTAAATATGAGTAGGATTGAACTGTAATTTTTTTTGTTAAAACTAATTCGACTTAAATAATGTAGGTAAGTATTGGTTTTGTTATATTTCGTTTTAAATTCAGTGGATTAAATATATCCTTTATAGTCAAATCATCTACAAGATTTTCATTTTACTTTAATATTATTTTTACAATAATCACTACATAGTATAAAACAAAATCGCTTTCCCGCTGTCTGTCCCTATGTATGCTTAAATCTTTAAAACTACGCAACGGATTTTGATGCGGTTTTTTTTAAAAGATAGAGTGGCTCAAGAGGAAGGTTTATATGTATAATACATGTATAATATAGTAGAGAAACACTGATAATTGTAGAGGTTTCTAATGTGATGTCGTAAATGAACACATTTTTTGCGCTTACATTGCAAACGCTGGCTGAACCCTACGAGATAG